AAGTTCCAGACTTTAATTCTTTTTTTTGATAGCCGCCATTTTTTTTGCCAGAACAAAGGAACTGGATCCCTCCACCTAAAGTTCTTCCCATACTTTCTTCATCAATGGTCTGAGAGTTTCCTCCTCATACCAAGAGTTTTCAAATTTAAAGGGAGCTTTGACCTTCTCCCTCTTCCCACAAATAAGTTGAATAGGACTGTGGTCTGAGACAGGTCTGGGTAAAGATATCTGCCTAAAGTCCGGAAAGATGTCCTCCCAATTTGAAGAAACAAGAAATCTATCCAATCTGACCGGGGTAGGGGTATCCTAGTTATTTGTCCAAGTGAACCTGTTACCTTGAATGGGAATGTCCATTAGATCCATAGTATTAATGAAATCTGCAAACTGCCTCATCGACACAGTTCTGCCACTTCTTGTATTCTTCTCTTCCACCAATAAGGTGACATTAAAATCACCCCCAATAACCCAAGGATGAGTCAAAGTCCCCCTCATATCAGCCAGTTCCTCCCAAAAACTCCTCCTAAGATTAGAAACTGTTGGACCATACACATTTGTGACTTGAACGATATTACCATCCTGCACCTTCAAGACAAGAGAGATGGAGAAATTCCCACTTCTGCAAGAAATCAAACTACAAACTAGGGGGTCCCAAAGACATAACAAGCCTCCCGCACTCCCATTGGCTCCCTTTGCCCTCCATCTTACCTGACCATCTCCCCAAATACTCCAAATAATACTAGCATCAATTTTCTCTAATTTGGTTTCTTGAATCAATACAATTCCCGAATTTGAAGCCTTTAAGGAATCACAAACCACCATTCTTCTTCTCCCCGACCTCAGCCCTCGAACATTCCAAGATTTAATATTCATTGATATGACAAAAAGAAGAGCCAACACCTCCCACTCCTAGAACTCACTCCCCCCACCCTCTCAGTTTTTCCTTGACCCCCTTACCACCCCAACACTGCTCCCAGCCTTCTCATTCAAGCCCAAGAGAGACGCATCATTTCTCTGCTCCTCTTGGAGATTGTCCCCCCTCTTTTAGCCCCCATCTTACCCCTTTCCAACAGAATTCTTTTTTCTATCTCTTCCAAGAACTTCACTGTCTCCGCTTCCATTCCCTCCATCGAGACCCCCAAAAAGCTCCCCAACCCTAGAAGTTTAGAAGAAACCCAGGAAGAGGACTTAGAAGTGTTGCTACTAGACTTACTGGCTTCATCAGTCCCAAGATTTGAATTTCCCACACTCACTATCTAGCCATTTTCTTCTCTCCTATCTATTCGCAGCATGGCTTAGCTCATTTTCCTCCGCCACTCTATGTTGATTCTGAGTATCGCTCCTAATCGCAGACTGATCTTCAACTTCCACTACTGCCAGCGGCGTCACCTCCAGCAATTGCTGGTTCATAGGGACCATGGAAAGGGAAGGTTGGTTCAGTCTTCTATGATCAGCTTTCACCTTCTCCACCATTTCAGAAGGACAAGGTTGGGGGGCCGAGTGCTCCAGGCTATCACCACCGAGCTCTACTTCAGAGGAAGAAAAAGTCTAATTCTTCGAAGTGACAAGCCCAATCCACCCATCCTGTAAACAAGGCTGAGTGATCCATGTTGGTTCAAACCGGTCCAAAGAAGAAGTTGGATCCAAGCTAGCCAGGTTGAACTGTCTTGGTCTATTTTCGGCCCATCTTGGTTCACTTGCAGCTTTAAGGTTGATTTTTCTACTAGGCTTCTGATTAGGCCAGATAAATGGGTTTAGCTGACCCGGATCTGAATCCTGGATCCGCTTTGAAACTCCCACATCTACACCATCCCCAACCTCAGAGAGAAGTCTTGCCTCATTAATTGTCGTCAGAGAGCACTCTTCCATAGGCACCACTTTTAGGTCTCTTAAGCACTCTTTTATTAAATTTTTAATATTTTCAACCAACTCACCATCTCCAAGAAGACCCATTTTCGAAATAGAGGCACTTCCCTCAAGGCCCACCCTGACTTTTGAATTTTGGCCCTCCGTTAGTATTGCGATCGAACGGTTCCTATCAGAACCTCAGGTCCAATCTTCTTCTTCTTCCTTCTCCGATGATTTCACCGACACAAATCCTCCTCCCCAGAGATTAATTGAAACAGCATGCAATGGGGAGCATTCACTGACGTCCTCTAAAACTACTGTCTTCGAGACCATCGAGTCCTCCCTCACCTTTTGAGTTCCCTCTTCTGTGAGCCTCTCCGTCTTCCACCTCCGAACTGACGGAAGGACTTCTGGCCAAATGGAAACTACGAAGAGAACTTCCCCAACAACAATCTCCACCTTCTTCAGAATCGAGCCTCCCTTCTTCACCTTCATTCGAATCCATTCGCAAGTAGCCAACTCAGAGGGAGAATCATCTAGTTCGAGAAAACCACTGCACGCATCCCCGATTGCTCTGATGACACTCGGACACCATAGAAGCAGAGGCAAGTCGAATACCCTGATCCAGATATCCTCCGACCGATCAAATTCCTCTTTCGACTCCGGATAAAAACAGCATGCGCTAGCTCCCCACCAGTCAAGAAGAAGAGGGTTCCTCCCCATTGACCATGGACCTTTTTCAAGAATCCATCGTGCAACTGCTCTGGAAGGCAGGATGAACAAGAAGAGCTCGTCCGCCAACTTCTTCACCTTCACTCCCCCCGCCTCCTTCCAGATTTGATTAGCCCAGATCTCCACCTCTTGTAAACCCACCTTCCACCCAAATCTACCAACTAAACAATCCCTTAAAAACTTCCTTCTTGCCTCCACCCCGTTCATCTCCGTAAATATCATAAGCTTGCCTTCGATAGTTTTCAGATCAGAACGTCCCAAGTCCGATCAAACTCCTGCTTTCACCGCTTTTCTGTAGGAGAAATTTGGTCTTGACCATGCCACCACGCCTTCTCTCTTGTACCAGTTCTGAGCTTCCCATCTCTTTCCTCCCCTTTGGACACCCCTAGGAAACTTGTTTTCCCTGAACTCCATTAGTATCCCCTTCCTATCCGTCAAACCCTAGACCATTACAACTTCATTAGTATACTCCTCAATCTCTGAGAATGCGATGCGTTCTATAGTGACCTAATTGTGTAGCTCAAAATGGTACATTTTTTTGAGCTTTGAAAATCACAGCATCTCGAAGAAATGGTATATTTTCTTACATTCATGGCATTCGAGGTGCAAGAAATCATGAATATCAGCTAGCTTCCCATTGTTTGTATGTGCTATAAATGCTACCTAAGCCTCCTACCCTACAAGCATAGCTTGACTATAAATTCATGTCTCTTCCCACAACTTACACATAATAGAATCCATATCATCAATAGCTCCCCTAATAAGAATATTGGTTCAAATTAACTCAAATTCAAGATGCAACTTCATAAAAATTGCATAGCCTTCCATTCATTATTGATCTTTTGAAATTTCTCATTAAATGAATGGTCACTTGTAAAATAAACCATTTCAAGCTCTATCCAAAGAGAAATAAATCCAGCATACTACTCAGTGACTTTTCTTGTCACCATGGGTGTACATAAATTTGTCATGCTCCAACTGGAATTTCTAAACAACTTGTTGGTAGACCTCTAAATATTCCAAAATTGCTTTAGTTGTCGGAAATCCTTGGAGTTGGTAAGCAATAGTTGTGTCTATAGATCCCAACAACCAAGTTATGATTTGAGCATTGCCAACCTCCCACTATCATAGTTCCAAGGCCAACTTTTTATCATGTCTAATTCTTGTTCCATCAAGTAATCTCCATAGTCCTTTCCCCTTGAAATAAAAGTTAAAGTCAAATCTCCACACTGTAGCTCATCCCATCAAAATGAACAGATACCAATTCTAACTTACCTGCCACCATTAGAACTTCTCAAAACCACAGGAAAGGGTCTCATACACCACCTAACCAATGCTAAACCCAAATGTAGGAGATCAGAACTCCTAACTCCTAAGAAGAGATATTTTTGGTTCCATGAACAAAGAGGAGGAAAAATAGGTCATCCAAGTAAAGGAAACAAGCCCTAGGCTTAAATCAGAACCCAAACCCTGCCTGATCAAGGAGAAATACAGAGGAGATCAGAACTGTCCTTGTTTAATTCTAATTTCATGCTTACTTGAAACTTGATCTTTCAGTTCCCAGAAAAGAGTAAGAAAAATAAGGAATAATATCCCTCAAAATACCTCTGATTGAACCTCCATCTGAGAATTGGTTAAGCACACTGATTCAAAACTTTGACAATACCTATTTCAAGTAGCCACTAGAGACAGAACGAGTAACCAGTACAAGAGCCTTCCCCTCTTTATACACATGTGCAGGTTAGATCTCTCATGCTTCGATACCATATTACTTGCACTAGAGTTTCATGCAATAGCAAGTAGAGAGAAAACAAGAGTTTAGGATGTGCACTCAAACGAATACCCCCACCTCCAATGGGCATGTTTTGTTAGAAGGGCAAAGCATATATTCAATTACAAAAATGCCCTATATTACTTGCACTAGAGTTTAATACTTTAAGGGCAATAGCAAGTAAAGAGAAAAGACAAGATTAGGAGATGTTTTCAAATGAATACCCCCCCCCCACCTCTAGAGGGCATGTTATCTTATAATGGCAAAGCATATATCTAATGAGAGAGAGAGAGAGACGAGAACTAGGGTGTGAATAGGACTGCCAATATAATCATTTTTAAAGAAAAAGATGGCATAGCATGGGAATCTGAAATTAAATCAGAATGACCTACACTTCAGTGGGCTTCAAATTCTGCCTGAGATCTGATTTCAGTTTTTAATTGAAACATTTTAGTCAATACAACTAAATAAATGATGAGACATGTAAATATCATGTACCATTACTAGGCTAAAGATAATCAAACTGCCAAAAAAATGGATGTTAAAGAATAACTTAAAACAATACAAAATATTAAAAAAGAATTCAACTGTGAAATCAAGTAATGCACTGGACAGATGGACAAAGACAAAAGCAACAGATAGAACATCCTACCTTCCTCAAGAGAGAGTTTAAATCCTGAGGATGCAACTTCGCAATATCCCCAATTTGACGAGCAGCTGCAAATCTTGTTGCTTGGGTTGAACCAGCTTGATTGTGACCAAGAAAGTACCAAATGCAAACATCATGAGGACAAACCAATCAAAATTTATGCCAACTTGCTAAAAAGGAAGTCTACCAACAGTAAGCATGGATATCAACTTGGTCAAATTTGGGAAGTAAAAAGATACCATCCAATAAAGTGAGTAACCGATTAAAGCGAGACGACTGTTGAGCCATGACACCTGCAAATATGCAGTGTCTCTCATCCGAACATGTAGCACAGGCAAGTGATGTATTCCTTCCGGTTCCAGTAGGCCTTAAAGTACCAAATCATCAACTTGAGTATTGGTACAAGAAAATATATATCCTTCTCAAAACAATTTTGCAAATGCAACCATATAATATGAAAGACAGGTGTAGCTTCACAGCAATCTGCATTAAAACCACATATTCAAGACCTGTATGTGGTAAAGTAATCCAAAGTGCTATATCATAAATCAAAAGCATCCATAAATAAAATTTATATACAAACTGAATATCACTCTCTGAGATATAATTTACAGAAGAAAAGGTCTTAATATGAAAAACTGACAGGAAGTAAAACAGATCAATCTGATATTCTTTATACCACATGAAAAATGAATAAGAAAATAAACCAAGAAATAGGAAGAAGTAACACCTAGCAACCATGAAGACGCCAAAAAAAACACCTATTAATTTAACAAGGATAGGAGAAAGATCAAACTGACTCCAGCTAAGGGCAACCAATGTTGTGATCAAGTAACATGAAATGTTCTAATTTCATATGAGCTAAAAGATCACTCTCAAACATCCCAATGATCCCATGAAAGAGAAGCATCCAGCTTCCTAAGACAAACATAAGAAGCAACACCTCTAGCAAGTCCAGATTTCAAAGGCATAAAATCACACTATGGTGCATAAACAAGGCCCTTACCCAATGTTGGTCCCATCCGTGGTTCACAATAGCGACGATATTTGACAAAACATCACTGATACATCCCCATTTGCTAGGTAGTGATACGAAATAGTCCAGGAATCTTTTTTTCCAAATATCCCCAATATTTTGCCAATATATCAGCAATATTTCAGAATTCATTGATAGATTATATATTTAAAGTTAAAACTTTAGAATACTATTAAAATTGTTCAATGTTTCATTAAAATCATCATAATTTTGTAAAGATATTTTCCTAAAAGATCCAGCAGGAAATTAGTAATTCGATAATTGGTTTACTACTTTGATTGATTACGAGATTATCTGCAAGCAAACTTCCAGCAAGCCCTGTTTATGAAATTCCACCTATCCATTTGTTGTGTTTTTTTTTATGAATGAATATAATTTATTAAATCAGAAATATGAGGCAATACAGTAGACCCAAGAGGAGGCATGAGTTGTTACCTCTTCTAACAAATATTACATCAAACTAAAGCAGAATTGACCAGAATTAACCAGAACTGTTTATGAAATTCCACCTATCCATTTGTTGTGTTTTTTTTTATGAATGAATATAATTTATTAAATCAGAAATATGAGGCAATACAGTAGACCCAAGAGGAAGCATGAGTTGTTACCTCTTCTAACAAATATTACATCAAACTAAAGCAGAATTGACCAGAATTAACCAGAACTAAATTACAAAGCAGCCCAAAATAAACGTTCCCTTGAGGCCCCTTGCTTAGCTAACCCATCCGCTAAGGCATTTGCTGATCTTCCCACCCAATGAAAGGTAACAGCCATGTTTTTTGTGATCCAGTTGACTTTCCTTAGCATATCTCTATGTCTCCACATAGCTGAAGCTGGTTCTGTCAGTCATCCCACAACAATCTCAGAGTCCCCTTCAAGTACCAAGTGTTGGACTCCTAATTGTTCTGCAATCTGAATACCTTGTACTGCCGCTAATAACTCAGCTCTATTGGAGTCTCCTATTCCCATGGGGCCTAAAAACAATGCTAATATTTTGCTTTCATTATCTCTCAACACCCCTCCTATCCCTGAAGGGCCTGGGTTTCCTTGGCTGCTTCCATCAAAATTCAGCTTTACCCATCCTTCAAGTGGAGGCATCCACACAACAAAATTTGGATTAGTTTTAGATATATCATAGTTAAGATACAAATTGAAAATTAACAATAGTAATAACAAGATTAAAAATAAACTTAAATATTTGTTATTCAATTATGACATCATGGGTTTCTTGGAAAAAATGGATCATTCACCCACCATCTAGATAAAAAAATAGCATTGCTTTTGGATTAGTTTTAAATTAGGGAAATTATAGTCAAAGCCGGCTGCACATTTAAAATTAGGCTACAAGTTGGTCCATAAACCAACATAACTTTGACAACCAGCTCTACATTTCAAATTATAAAAAACCCTTGCCAGGTCATCGGAGGATTATGTGGTTGTTGCCAACATGGGACTCTTAATCCATGTTGAACACAACAAAAAGCTTATACTAAAATTTCCCTTTAATGTTGGGTGATTGGAAAATTAAAAAAAAAAAGGTTTTTAGTCACTCTCTCTCTCTCTCATAATCATCTTTATCTGCTCAACGACTATGTGATTTGAAAATAAATAAAAATGGTTTTTGGTTTTTGTATTTACGTTCTCTATATCAATTTCTCTCATTATCTCTCTCTACGTATCGCTCTCCCTCAATCTCTCTCATTCTCTTTCTTGGTCGATCTCTCCTTCTCCCTTAATTTCTATCATTCTCCTTCATTTTCTCTCCCACTCCCTCTCTCATTTGTTTTATTTTCTTACACATTTATATGGTATTAATCAAATCGTATAAAAGAACATGAGACCAACTTGGTATGGTTCAAAAATTATTACACCAATTTGATAAAAATTCACAGGAAACTCTTAGCTATGAAATTTACACCAACTAGAGAACGATAGAGATTGAGGGAGAAGGATATATTGACCGAGAGGGAGAGTGGGGGAGAAGAATGAGAAAGATTGAGGGAGAACAATAGAGAAAGGTTTTGATTTGGCTACAGAACGTATCTAAGAGAGTGGGAGAGATAGAGAGAGCAGGAGATCGAGAGATGACTATGAGAGTGAGAGAGAAGGGAGGAAAATCAAGAGACAAAGGGAGTGGGAGAGAAACTGAAACCCTATTTTCGGTATAGGTTTTTTGTTGTGTCCAACATGGACTAAAAGTCCCATGTTGGCAACAGCCACATAAGCCTCCGAAGACATGACGGGGGTTTTTATAATTTGAAATGTAGAGACGGTTCCCAGAGTTTTATTGGTTTCTAGACCAACCTGCAACCTAATTTTAAATGTACAACTAATTTTGACTATAATTTTCCCTTTAAATTATATATTTCATTTACATTATATAAAATATTTTTCTTTTTACACTTAATTTTTGATTTCTAGGTTGATAGTAAATTTTGCATTACATTTCCATCATTGACAAAATTATTTCTTATGTATAAAACTTATTTTTGTTTAATATAATAAATGCACAATATTAGAGATGTACCCAATATTTTATTTTTTATAAATATATAACATTAGATATGTGCCCAAAATTTTCTCTATCTTTTTTTTTTAGTTTTGTGATTCTTTGYATTTTCTATTATTAAAGATTTTATTATTTGACTATAGCATCATTTAATTTCTAGGTAGATTTTGAATTTGGAATTCCATTTTTATCATTAATAAAAATACTTGTTACATTTCATAGTTATTTATTTTAATTTTTTATTATTTAATTATGACATTATTTA